AAACTGGCAGGAGTACCCGAAAACACAGTCGTGATGAGAGTTGAGTCTGACATTCAAAATGAAGGTTCGTGAACTCTGTTTCACAAGAAAACATTTGGTCGAATTTCATTATGTTTTAATTTCGTATGTTTTATGGACTACTGCATGCCATGTATATGGCAGTCTCAACACTTTGGTTCGCATAGATTGTCACCATGCTTGGAGTCAAAAACTTTGATTTGCTTAGATTTTCATCATGCTTGCCTACAAAAAATGCAGTTGGATGTTTGTTAATTCTTTCAAACAAGTACTCCAGAGAAAAAACACTTCACATCAATCACCTATTCCACTTTATTTGTTTGGTTTACTTGCAGCACTTGCATGCACTCATCATTTCATTGAAATACAATTATTAGTGGCCGTAGAATGTATAAGACAATGCATATCTACACAAATTTAACTAACCCAAAGGCATAGTTGGGCAAAACCTACATTGCTTCTTTGACACAATTTAATATCTAATATCATAGTACTGGTATGGCACATTTCGATATCAACTGTGCTTTGCTTCCAGCCTCCAATGGCAAAGACAAACCTCGTGAGGAGGCATTTATGGAAGAGCTACAGACGGATATCATCGAGTGGTTCTAATACTATCGTATCAATGAAGTTGCTATAAGTAACTACTACCATGAACGAAGACATTGTATTTGTCAATTTCCATTCGCATGGTACGGTCATATGTTCATGTTAAATGCTATGAAATGTAATTCGCAATAATGCTATGCAGAGATTCGTATAGATCCTACAATGCTGCGAACGTTCACGCACATCCTTTGTAATGAATATGGGTTGTAGAGTTTGCAATAGGTGGATGTGTATGAGCAAAGTTGGTATGTTTCTTTGCATTTTAGTTCATGAAAAAGGCTATAGACATGTTCAAACGCTTTTCAATCATTCATTGGAAACTGTCGAACACTGCTTCAAACTTGTCTTTCGAGCATTCATCGAGTTCTCTATATACATAATTCGCCCAAATCTAAACTACAATCACAATGCCAAGCATCACGTCCCAAATCGAAACAAGCATTCCTTGTTCTAAGATTGTATAGGTTCAATCAACGGCACTCACGTCAGAGCCGTGATCTCGCGGGATAAGCGAGTGAATTTTATTAGACGCAAAAGAATACCTATACATGATATGCTAGTAGCTTGTGATTTCAACTTGTATTTCATATTTGTGCTGGCAGGTATAATGGAGAACACTCACGCTAGAATTTTAGCTCAAGCTATACATAGCCCTAAGATTCACTTCCTGCAATAGGTACTTGAAAATATTATCTGGTAGACTCGGGGTTTTCCCATCAACTTGGGTACATGGCGCCATATAAAGGTTTTGATATATTATACTATTTTCAACAATTTTACAATGGAGAGACATGTCATAGGCGTAACTTTCGAAATGCTCGTGAGAAGTTTTATTTCAGGCACTCATCATGTAGAAACGTAATCAAATGTGCATTCGGAGTTTGGAAGGGTCATTGAAAAACACTCATTGTATGTCGAGTTATAACTTTAAAGTGCAAGCAGTTGTTGTAGTAGCTACTATGGGTGTTCACAACTTTTTTGGCGTGGTCGACGAAGCATTCACAAGAGTGGAGACTGATCCCAACGTAGCAGAGATGGAGCTATCGGATGAACATGATGAAATTGAAGCTAAATTACATGTACTGAAAATCCCAAGAAATGTGTGGGATCGATTCAGAGATTATTTAGCACAATAACAATGAAATTAATTGTTCATGTTTTAGTATTTTCATTAATTGAACGATATTTTTCCTAAAAACGAATATGGTGTTTACATGAATTTTTGGTTTATAAACTCTCGAAAAAAAAAACTGAATATTTTCACCATAATACACATCTTTGTTGCCTTCCATTAATCTATTTGGTTCTTGGCTGGACCTACTTCTATAGCATTAATTACATCCCTTGTTTTGGTGTGGAAGGGTCAAAGAGTAGTGGCATTTCACGTGAGCACACATTGTTGAAATATGAGGGCAAATTGAACAAACATCCATATTGCTCTGCATTTAAGAGTCCAGTGGGCCCTACTGAATTGACATGAAAATTAATTCTGATTTTTTTATGCAATCATGCCCAAACTGGGGCTAAGCAAATTTCTTTTGGATTTGCTATAATAAAGTGCATCGTCAATATATAATTTTATATTGTTTGGTAAAATAACACAAGCTCTTTCGAAACTTTCGACAATATTCGATGCACCGATATCGTATTAATATTATTTTCTACTAATGTTAAGTCCAAATTATTTTATTTTTTTTAAATAGTATATAAAGTTGCACTATCAATCAACATATATCTTGACAATCCACCATAAATATATAAATATAACAAAATAGATATATTTAAAAAACCCGAATTTAAATTTAAAACGATAAACATATTTCAGTACTGTAAAATTAACGATACATAATAAATTTTTAAAATTTTTGCAAAATGTAAAAACATATTTCAAACTAAATTTCTAAAATAAAGAAAATACTAGCGACATAGAAAATAAGCTAATATATATCTTCTATTACACCACCCAATTAAATAATCAATATTCTCATTTGGATCGATAAAGAAATTGAAAACATCCATATGAGTCACATCAATGCGACCATCATAATAAGCAAAATTTATCTCCACTTTTCCCTTTCTCTTGATTGATATTTATAAAGATCCACGAGATTTTTTTTGTATGACAGGTAAGTACTCAATGTCCTTTTATTCCACATCTAAAGCAACTTTCTTTATACTTCTTTTTGGATGTGCTATTTAGTTGCTTTGTGCCTTCTAAAATTATTGCTTTGTTGCTAATAGCTTTGTTGGTATTTTATCCATGGTTTATTCCACGTGCACGTCCGCGTCCACATCCAAATTCGTGTCTACGCCCACTTCCACTTCCTTATCTTGATATTACATTTGTTTCAGGCAATACAATACCATTTATTTCAAGCAATAGTACAGAACAAGTTGGATGTAACCTATGATTTTTCATCAACACCCACAAACAGGCAAGATATGAGTTCGGAGTACTTTTTTAAACCAGGCTCATGATATTGTTGTTGCAAAAGCACATTCAAAGTGTGAAAGGTGGAAAAAGTTTTCTCCAACATATCTTCATTAGTGATTATTTTTCTACACAAGGTCAATTTTGAACATATTTTGAACAATTCAAAATTATACTCACCAACAGTTTTAAACCACTACAAATGAAGGAGCATCCACTCATAGCGGGTTTTGGGGGATTATAGTCCTCCGATGATAAAATCTTTTAGTTAATTTTTTTCAAAGAATTTGTGGATCTTTCTCAATGAGATATTCACTTTTCAATCCATCTTGAAGATGATGACAAAGGAAGATAAGTGCCTCTTGTTTCCTTCTTTTATTATCTTTTCTAAACCTTTTGAGACAAGATGGATATCAGCATATAGTACACGTGATAGATAGTTTTTGCCAGATATTTCAAGTATGGCAAATTCAAGTTTTGTGATGTTTGTCATTTGATTAACTCTACTAAACTTTGAAGATTAAGCTTTTTTTTGTCGATAACGTGTTATGATCTATAACTTAATAAATAAGTCATAGTCACAATAATACGCAATTTACACATTTTATAACATTTATGCATAGCATTCTTGTTGAGAATGCTATAAATTAAAATAAAACATTACCGAAATATGATATAATAGCATTTTTAAACAGGATTCCAAATTAAAAAAAAAAAAAAAAAGCCCAAAATCCTTCCCTCCCTATATTTTACCAAAACATATATACATCCCGCGGCTCTTAGTTAGGAGAATATATCAATTCTCCTAAATCCTTCCCTGTGTCATTTTCTCCTCATCTCCATCTCTCGTTCGCGTGGTCCAAGGGATTTTGTGAGTTTCTTCACCTCTCTATCTCTCTTTCGGTATGGGGAATTTGTGAATCCCTGCTTAATTTCTTCTCAACTCTATCTCTATTTCAATTTGGAGGTTTATGTGAATTTCTACGCCTTTGCATCTTTCTGTCGGTATAGGTGATTTTGTTACAAAAAATTTCCCAAATAACAATGAATTCATCCCAAATTTTCATACCTCGTTGCTGATTCTATTATTTCTATTTGTTCTACAGATTTTATTTTTTCAATTGTGGAAGGAAAGTGTTGACGAATATACGGTT